AACTGTGTGTTACTTGAACTCTTTCGGTAGCTTTTCAAAAATAGTGCGGAATTGACCAGCGGACCTGCTCTCTCTTCGTGGTCTCCTTTGTTGGGCTGAGGGGCCATCACGTGCCTTAACCATCCCACTCAGAGGGCTGAAGGCCAAAAACAAAACTGTGGGAGTCACTGCCTGCTTTCTTTGTGCCGGTCAGTGTAGCTGAACTGGGTTGGGTGGATCGGGCCCTGACTCATGAGAAGGCTGTGCTCTGGCGAAGAAGTTTCTCCTGCTTGTCCGTGCATATGTGCCATTCGGGGTGTGTGTGTTTGTGTGTTTGTTTAATATTTGATTCCAAATTCTTCATTCTGGGGGGTCCATCTGCCAGACCCACACCAAAATTACGCTCGCCCGGGACAAGGCCAGGCTGAACGGCCTTGGGGCCTAGGATAAGGCCGAGCTCTGGCCTATGTTCCCATAAGAGAAGCTGCCGCTTGGCCTTTCTCCAGGCGAGCACAATTGAGGTGCGGGTCTGGCAGGTGGAGCTCCCCAGAATAGAGAATTCTGGGATTTAGAGTCCGAAAGAGGAGCCCATGTCTACCTGCCACCATGCAGAAGGAACATCCGGTTTAAAGAAGCAGACTCGTTTGGAGTCATGCACAACCACCCTATGGAAATTGCCATAGAGGGAGGGTAGTCGGTGGAAGATGAAAGGTCTCCGCCTGAGCCTTACCAGACCCCTGCCATGTAGTGCAAAATACACTGGAGTGTAGGGGGGGCGGTTTACTCTCCCCTCTTTTTCTACTCAGTTCCCCACTCCCAAGAGATTCTGGGGGATGAAAAGCACAGTTTTAGGAACAGAGTAATTTCTCCCCTGTTTCCGGGGCCCCTTTCACAAGAGCCAAGCTGGTGTGCACCCCAGAGCACCTCCTTCTGGCTTGACTGCAGCAGGCTGGGGGGGGCGCGTTTTACAGTGACGGTCAAGGGAGGGGCTTCCATTTGTGGGTCCCCCTAAGACAGAGAACTGAAGGATCCTACACACACGCCTGCGGAATTAATGGGTTGCTTATTCATGACATGGCCAACCCTTGTTGGTTGTGGTGATGGCTGGTTCAGAACTTGGCTTATTGACGTCCTGCTGGGATGGATGAGCGTTAATATAGCTGTGGTTCGGTGACGGTTCTGCTCGTTAAATGGGAAGGTCCAGGATCCCCATGGGAGAGCGACCCCTCTCCACACCCTGCATGGCAATCGGAGGAGCAGCTTTGTAGGCCCGGTGCCCTCCTCTCAGCTGTTATTATGTAGAGTGGCGGGTGAAACACATGAGTGGCAAGCCCTTCCTCCTCACGGCAGTAGGTCAGCGCAGCCTGGCAGCCTTGATTGCTAGCAGCCAGCTTGCGTGCATCGCCAGTCCCTAAATGATCATCTAAAACGATTTCGCCAGCCCCTTACATTTGGGGCGGTTCATGTTCCTAATGCACAAGGATTTTTGCAAGAACTTCCCACGGATGTTACTGCAAAGGAGAGGGGCCAGCCGCTGTGGGTGGGCTGCCTTTAGGCCCCAATCCAGAGAGCCCTCCTTTAAATAGCCATGTATTTTTGTCCCCACATGTCACCTCACAAATAGGTGTGGGGTTGTTTTTTTGCCCTTGTATTTTATTCAAAGAAAATGGAGACATTCTTATGTGCTTTTTCTAGACGGTGAGCAACATATTTGCAATAAGGTCCCTACTTACCCGTTTCTCTCCTCCCCGTTGATTGCCAACGAGAGATTCCTAGCTCTGTCCTTCAACAGAGACGTAGAGATGCTCTTGTGTGGAGCAGTAACTACCTGTTTGGTTTCTTGACAAGAACCAACCTTATTGTTCCCAGCGGGCTACTCGGTTGCCATGCTTTTATTTCATCCAGCCCCATTCCCTTCAGTATTTGGTTTCTTGACAAGAACCAACCTTATTTCATCCAGCCCCATTCCCTTCAGTGGCGACAACTCTCTCAATCCAACACCTGGTTTTGCCCCTTCGATCTTCCCCTGTGGTAGATGCTGCAGACCACACCTCAGGGCCACTGGTATTCTAACGCTACGCTCTTTGGCGAATACCCTTTTGCATCTGTCACTGACTCCGTAAAAGAAGCCACTGCCTTGTTTGCAGAATCTGTGTTGGGCAGTTGAGGATCAGGCCTTGTGGAGGCCACTAATCCACAGGGCCACCAAAGCTAGAAGCATCTTGGTGGCGCATCATGGTGTCGTAATGCTTGTATCCATTTGAGAGTAGACCCGTTGAACCAACGGTTGAGTAGTAAGTCAACACTTAGGTAAAACTTATTGAGCCAGTGGGTATAATTTGGACTAGCAAGATTCTGCCCTTCTTTGTGTTGCTGTGGAAGAAAATTGCTCTGGGCAGGTAGGGGGGGACTACAGCTGAGTGCCCACCCTGCCTGGGCAGCCTTTACTGTGTGGAGCCATTTTAACGGAGCTTCGGTTAAGAGGCTGTGATGTTCGGTTGGCTCCCACAGTGAAACTCACACTCACATGGCACGTTTGGATGTGGTAGGATTGTTTAAATGATAAAGCCAAGGTGGCCATTTTAGTAGCAGAAAGCATGGCAGTCGTCTTCTGAAGCTCATCTTGGCCGCCGTTCGTCTGTTTTTCAGAGAGGCAAACATGTGGGGCTCTTTCAACAAAACCATAACCAAAGCGAGTACCAGTCTCTGATGTCCTGTGATGCCCAGCTCACACTAAGAGTATAATAAAATTGATAACAATAATAATAAACTTAGAACCGCAGAACTGGAAGGGAATCGTATGGATCAAGTCCAGCCCGAACGCCTATATATGTGCCGGTCTTAAAGGTACCACAATACTTCCGTTGTTGGCGTTGGCATGGTGCGTGGTGATTGGAGTGTTGGGCCAGGCGGAGGGACACTGGGCTGGGCCATCACACTCACTAGTGAGTTTTGAGCGATGCAAAAACACAATCCCGTTGCTTAGCCTATAGATGTTGAAGAGATGGAATGAGTGGAGGAGGCTGTGTTCTCTAAAGGAGAAGGTGATACTGTATACCGCCCTGAGTCCTTTTAAGGAGAAAGGCAGGGTAAAAAAATATTTAAAATAAATAAATAGTAGAAAGAAATACGGGAGCCACCCGGAGAGTGTGTGCAGGATACAAGCGGGAATGAATGGATGAATGGAATAAATGCAGTAAAATATATTAAAGATTAGTTGATCGGTTCTACCTCCTCTTCAAAAGATTTCCTTCTACTCCAGCGTTTGTGAACTTGGATTATGCGACTTAAACTTCAGTGCAATTCTGTCTTAAAAGATCACAAGGAAGAAAAAAAAAGTGCGACTTTTTTATGATTGCCTAACAGAGGCTTAGAAGAAGTGGGTTTGCAGCAAGAGTAAAGCACTTGCTACACCAGATTGGCGGGGGTGGGGGTTGAATGATCCTTGCCTAGCCTCCTCCCCCCATGGCTTGAAAAGTAAAAGTAAAAAAATTGACAGCACAAACTTCAACACATTCCCCAAAACCAGGCGGCAGCAATGGCTTTTCTCCCATTTGGTTTGCTGCCGTGCATCATGGCACCTTCGAAAGATCTCCAGTTCCCATTGCAAGAGAGAGAGAGAGAGAGAGAGAGAGAGAGATGAAGCTGAGAGGGTAGTAAGAGTTTCCTTTTTAGACAACAACTCCATAATTCTACAACTGGCACTGGGTGTGATGTTCTAGGAGCGGCCGTTGGGGGGGAAAAAAGAAACCACCACCTTTTTTTTGCTCAGTTGCTGCATCTGAGACGAATACCGAATACTGCCATTCTGTTTGCATTGTGCTTGGCCGGTAGTTCATAGTGAAGTACAGTGGTGCCTCGCTTAACGATTGCCCCACATTACAACGAATCCGCTTCATGATGATCTTTTTGCGATTGCAATGATGGTCTAAATAGGG